ATTTCTATGTGTTAGGAGGATATAAAGGCCATGGAAGAGAGAATTCTTCATTCCTTGAGAGTTTGAGAAATAGGATGAAATTAGAATTGTGAGCTTTAATTGAGTTAGCCTACCAATTCTATTTAAATTGTGGAATAATCTCCATAATGGAATGCTAAATCCAGCTCAAAGCATTGGTATACGTACAGTAGGGAACGATCATATAACACAACTATGGACCAGACCTAATATTCAAAATAGAATCTGTAGCATTTTTCTATCTTTTGGTATACTTAATATCACAGCCGAAGGGACAATGGCTAATTAAAGGAAACTTTTTCATTTATCCTGGTGAATTATTGGGAATTATCAGTGAGGTCAAAGTTTGAACTACAGTGTAGTCTTTCATGTTTGCAAGTCAGTTAAGGCTGATCCTGATGAGACTTAAGTACCATTTTAGGCCTGGAATTTGTGTGGTTGATTCCCAACGCAAGTGATCTCTGCTGACCACGTTCTCTTTAATAGCATACACCAGCATTTGTCAAACTTGGGGTCTTGACCCAAAAGGGGGTTGCAAGCCTATTGTAGGGAGGTCACAGTATTGCCATGCTTATTTCTGTGCTACCACCAAAGCAGGGTCAGAGTGGTGGCTGCAGCCTGCATGCCCGGCTCTGAAGGCTGCGCTGCCAGCAGAAGCAGCACAGAAGTAAGGGTGGCATAGTATGGGTGGTTGGAAGGGGGTGAGGGCAATGTGGGAACATCACAACCCTAAATACTTTCAAAGAAGGTCTCAGCAAAGAAGGTTTGAGAACCCCCAGCATACACTATTGTATCTGATTGTTCACTTAAGTTACGAATTTTTCCTAATAGCTTTCAGATACTCTAAGTATCTTTTTGGGTACATTATCTCATGGCCCACTTACCAGAAAGGCAGCAGATAAAAGGCTTAGTCACCAAAATGTTTAGCAATTCTAAAATGTATACGTTCCAGGTAGGTTACAGTTTGAGTAGATTGTATGTTAAAATTTCAAATCAGTGTCTTCATTATTTGGATATTTTGGCTCTTAAACTAGAACACTAAAAACAAGTATTATATCTGTTTGTTTTTAAATGTTTTTGTGATTTCTGATTTACCAGCATTTCCTAGTCTCTGCCATTTTAAAACTTTTCCTATTTTCATTGTGGCACTTTTTTTTTTCCTCCATGTAATCCCTTATGTGCTTTGCCTGCTCTTACATTACATGACTTTTCAGTTTTTAAAAATGCACCAGATGTGTGTGTATATCATTGCTATTCTAAAAAGACTACAGGAAAAATTTCATGATTGTACTGTAGATTACAATCAAAGGTTTGAAGCAAACTTTTTTTAGATTCTGAAATTCTCCGAATGCCCCAACAGCATGTTCCTCAATGGAGCATCTGGGTGCTATCATGATACAAATACTAAATGATCACCCACCACTCTACAGCATATCCGATACACTCAAATTGCATGTTGCCATGTAATTCAGTTAAATTTAACACATGCATAACTTTAGAATAAGAAACATCTGAGACCGTAAGATGATACTTAATGCAGACATAGTCTATGCCCTTTAAGGTTTGCCTTGCATAAGCTTTAACACAAAACTCTTCAAAGGGCTTTTGTTATAGTTTGACTTTTAGCTGTAATAAGCAATACTTTCATTAATAGGTGATACAAATGTCATTATGTGAGTGCCATCTCTGCTGTTTTCTTTCTTTTTGTTAATGTAACCTTAATGATAAACTTAATTTGCATCCCTGAAGTTTGGGAATAGTGAAATAAAGATGCAATGCTTAACCCAAACAATGCCCGTATTTGTCTAATAAAAGGAAAACAAATTGATTATGTGCATAACAATGGAGCTGTTTTCCACCCCTCCCCCCACCTCCCCAATTGTGCTTAATACTCACGTTTTTGTGTGTTGCTGGAAGCAGTGGAGAGGTAAAACCTGAGTGATGCCTGGAAGTGAGGTAGGGATTCTGTCAAAGCTAGCCCTTGTAACATGCATTTAATTTAAAAAGGGAAAGAGTAAATCAAGGAAACTTTAGTCAAGTTACTGCTTTTGTGTTTAGGTGTATTTGAAAAATAAAAATAAATTAGTCCTACTTCCAAGAAATCTATTGCAAGTTTAATTCTTGAAGGTTAAAAAATGCTTGTGAAACTCTGCCCTGATCTATACTACTAAGGCAGCTTATGTTGACCTAACTTTGTAAGTGTACAGCCTTGCTCCTGCTGATGTAAGTGCCCTACTACAGTGACATAATAAGCCCTACATCACTCACGGAGGTGGAGTTATTTTTGGTGTAGGTAGGGTGATGTGGTGTCAGTGTAGACACTGCCTTACTTATATCCTCTGTTGGCTGTCTTGTCAATTTCATGGCTCCTGGAGCTGTGAAATTGACAAGAAAGCCCAGCTTCGGCTGCCCCCCAAGCTCCCAGCTGGGCATCCTGCTGCCCCCTCAGCTCCCTGCTGGGAAGCCCAGCAGCTGACTGGACTTCAGGCGTGGATCTTCCTGCTGGAGGCAAGAAGCCCTGGGGAGTTGAGAAGCACCAGGCAGCTTCCCCTCCACCCCCGCTCCCAGCGGGAGCTGTGCAAAGCTGAGAGCCCTGGCTCCCAGCCCCTATGCTGCCCCTCTTCAGTTGGTGGAAGCGTTCCTGATGAGGATATGCACCACTGACAGAAGGAGGGTTGTGTGGACATCAGCAGTAATTACTGCAGAGGCTGTAAATTGACATAATCTAGATTTATTTAAGATTGTAGTTAGATATACCAACTGATGATTGTCTCAAGCCACATTTGAATAAAAATTGGAATTCAATTAATACACAAAAACAGCATTTTAAAATTGTTTGTTAGCTCAATAAAACTGCCATAAAATGTGCTGAATGCATAAGAAAATTTAGCAAAACATGTTTTGCATTTAAAGCCAACATGTATTTATGTAGTTAATGAATGGAATAAGTTATACTGGCAAAATAATAATTTTGCTGGTACAAGCTCAGTTCACACGAGGAGTACTTTGCTGGTAGGATATACTTGCATAGCTATAGGGACAAATTTGTAATGCTAGTGTAGACCTGGCATGTGCTTGCTCTGCCTTCTGGGAACTCCACATGAAGGGAACCCCTAGCAAGAGGTTTCTGGGATGGTTTCTGTTTTCTTTAAACCACCTGAGTGACACAAAGAGCAGAGAATCTCCTCCTAAGTACTTATGGTGCCCCCTTGACCTTCCTGAAATATCTTCCAAACTCAGACTGAAAAGGTTGGACGCCACTGACCTGAATCAGTCCTTCTACCACAGATGAACATACTTAAAGCCAAATTAATACATTCCATCAGACTTTCAAACTGGCACTCAGCTATGATACAGGAAGCAGTGCTTATGATTGAGAAAGTGGAACACGTCCCTCTGAATCTATCAAGCCAGTGCACTGTGCTGTCAGATAGTGTGTTCCAGAAGAGATTTGTGGCCATTAAAGATTCTAGTCACACTTTTTTTTGTAAGAATATTTACTCCTTTGTCTTAGCTGAATTCCAGCTTTAGTAATCTTTCTTCCCACCTGTATTTCCTGGGCAGTTTTAATTAAATAAGTTATCAATTTCTTGTACCATTATCAAAGAGTTACCACCTTTCACTTCATTGGCTTTACTTCAATAATGGATGAAGTGACCTTTATGTACTTTTTTAGGTTATATAACTCTCAAATTTGTAAAGACGTTTGAGTTTTTTTGGAGTGCAAATTACCATATATGTATGCGCGTTTGTGTAGTTGAGAATGAGTGCTTAGAGGTAAAGCACTAAGTTTGACAATCCTTTTTTAACCTTGTGATTAAAATAGAATGTGGTCCCAGGAATAATCTGTCATTGCATCATTGTACTCCGTTTATCTGATAATGTGAGATTTTGTTGAAAATATGTAATACGTGGCAGTAGAAATACATATTTTCACTAACTTGTGTATAATTTTTAAAGATTTGACTTTTTAAATATACTTTAGAAACTTTGAGATGGGGAATGAACTTGCTCTTTGTCTCTGGGGGACTCTTAAATTGTTGGCAGAAGGATATGCTCTAACCCTGTTTGAGGAACTGTGTGTGGTTTTTAAAAAAAAAGAAGAAACCTTTAATCAAGCAAGATAACTTGCATCTCTGCCCTCATCCTTGCTGGGTTACTTTTCTATTAGTTCCTCTTTTACTGAGTACTAAGTCATTAATGCTAAGTATTTGGCAAATTGTTTTTTGCTGAGTTATAAAAACTACTGGCAATAAAGGCTGAGGGAGTCTTCATTCTCTCCTTGACTTTATTTATTTGTACCATTGAAGGGACAGGACCAGTTTGAGACCCTTCTGTTTACATGTGAAATCCTTTGTGTTTTTAAACACTGTATGTTAATTTTCTAGGAAACCTTACTGTTCTGTAAGCTCCTCATATATTAGACAGGAATTTGCTTTGTTTTTGGCCGAACAAAACACTGTATATTGGTAAATTTTAAAAGCTCAGAAGGACTCTTAAAAACTAATACAGACAAATATAATTAAGTTGGGGATCTTCCAAACTTTACAGGTCACTGTGTAAGCTGAACAGAGAAGCAGGACTGAATCTTGTCTGTGGTTTGAATGTGTAGACTTCGGGGAGGAGTATTTCTAAAGACAAAAATGGCAGTTAGGTGTGTTACACCATTGGGAGTACTTTCAAAATCATGTACTTCCTGTTTGTGCCTGTTAAATAAGAGACTAGGATTTCTGTTTGTCTTGCTGAGATCGATGGCCTTGCAACATCTAAACAGTGCACTGTACACTCACACTTGGCTGAAATATCAATTAGTGTAAGACCAGTCCTTTGCAAATAAATATAGTAAGAATGGATATTCAAAAATTTATGCATTCTATCTATGGTTGTAAACTTAGAGTGAAAATATAAATTTGAACTTGAAAGTTATTTAATACTGATTTCTCTCTTTTCCCTCTCCTCCCCCATTATTACCTCGAAATAAGGTGTGTAAACAGATTTGGCTAGGATTATTTGATGATCGATCATCAGCAATTCCAGACTTCAGGGATCCACAGAAAGTAAAGGAGTTTCTACAGGAAAAATATGAAAAGAAAAGATGGTAAGCTAACACTTTCAGTTAGTTTTGATAGAAAACTAACTTTGTTGTGTTTTTTCTGTAACCAGAAATCCCTTTTGGGTTTACTGTAAATTACTGACTAAAAGTCTTTCATTGTGATTAAAAATGAGTGTTACTTTGTTGCTGAAAAGAACTTGATGACTTCTCAATTTTTAAAGAAGGCACTATACCTTATGGAAGACTTTGGGCTTGTCTTCATGTACAGCACTGTAGCAGCACAGCTGCCGCACTTTAATGATGATGCTACTATGCCGACAGGAGAGCGTCTCCTGTTGGCGTAGTTAATCCACCTTCGCAAGAGGTGGGAGCTATGTCAGTGGGAGAACCTCTCCCGATGACATAGCACTGTCTACGCCGGCGGTGAGGTTGGTGTACCTACTTTGCCCAGCAACAGAGTTGTACTGATACAGGTTTGTAGTGTAGACCTGGGCATTGTAAAGCACTAAACATTACATCTGAATAGTCTGAACATTGCTAAACCTAGATATTCATTTAAAATGTTAAGAAGAAGACCTGGACGTTTGTTAGTAGATGCACCACATATGTTAGTGTGACATTCCCCAGGGACTGCTGTGTCCCCTTAGCTCTCCAGCCTAGGATGCCTTTTACACTACTTTGCTAGTGAACAGCAAACCCTTCCAGGGTCTGCCCACTCACACCACCAGCATGCAAAATCACTCCCAGCTGAGTACATGAATCTATGCCCAGTCATCCACGAAGCACATATAAGGCAACACCCACATATCCCTCAGGCCCAGCCTTTTCTTCTACTGTTCAGTAGCCCCACTGGACAGTACAAGCTCGTAATTAATCTGTCATTCCAGCTGTGGGTAATAAATATGCACCAGTCCTGTTGACCTGAGTGGAGATTCCCCAAACACTTCAATCAAACACACTGGCTTAGATAAAATAATAAAAGAAGGTTTTATTAACTGCAGAAAGGTAGAGTTTAAGTTTTTATAATTAGTATGGCATAGACGTTAGAATTGATTACAAAAGAAATAAAAAGATAAAATTGCAAGGTAATTCCTACATTTTACCAAGCTAAATAAAATTTGAAGCAAACATTCTTACCACACCAGATGCTGCAGGCAATCATTAGTTCACAGGCTAGGTTTCCTTTCAGCCTGAGACCACTCATTAGTTCAGTGTTCTTTAGGTGTTCATTGATGTTATGAGCAGGGAGGTGGCTAGAGCCATTTTGCACCCCGCTCCCTTCCTTCCCTCCCCCCCCCCCGCCCGTTCTTATACCCCAACCCTTGTGTGCTGGAAAAATCCTTGCTGGGTCATGTGGGCAGGCAGTTCCATGATGTACATGAGCTTCAAACTGTCTTTTCAGATAAGTTGTAAATTTCCTGTTTACAACCCCCCAGCAGGTAATGGCTCTTTAGCACTTTTCTGGCATGCTAGTGTGTCTGTGTCTGTCTGAGGAATTGGCTTATTCTAGATACCAGAATTGCGACACATTCCAGTAACAATCATACAGCAAAATCTCATAATTTCACATGCAGTGTAACACTCATTTCAACAGGATAATAAGAATCAGCAGATTGAGTTTACAAGTGATACCTCACAAAGCATACTTTGTACAAAATATATAACCATATAAAAGTGGAGAACATGGGATACAGGGTGTCAGTTATTTTTCCGTGGCCTTCTTCCTAAAGGTCTGCACTTGGATCCCAACTGCCTTAGCAGCTGCTGAGGCTCCACAAGACTGCTGCACTCTGCAGGTGGGGAAGTTGTTTTCTGTTCACAAGGGCAGCTTCTGCTGTTTCCCTCAGAGTGGCTTTTAGATCAGGCAGAATAGAAGCTTTTGTGTTCTGCTCGTATGCTAACAGCTTTACTATGTTTGCTTGTCTGGAGGGCAGGCTGTTTTTCTTTTTCCTCTTGTATATGTGGCAGACCTTGTCAGAAAATATTGGACTTATTACATAAACGGTTGTTTACTGAATAGGGTGTAAGAGCTATTACAGCTCATTTAAGTGGAGAAGTTATCAGACTATTTTCTTTAAAAGTTCTGTATGTTCCGCTTTAACGGGGCAATCATAATTCATCTCGAACAAGGAAACTGTAACTGCTTATGGTGACATCAGTAGCCGTATAGGACTTAAACAGTCCCTTACTGGGATGGAACTACAGTGATGGTAGAAATATTTATTTGGGTTTTGTAAAAATATTGATGCTCTGTAAAGTGAATATTTAATAACTATTGGTAACTCAATCTGAGTTTTTAAAGAAAGGTTTAAAATTCAGACTTTAATAGAGTGTACAACAATGGTTCAAACCCTGGTAATTGGTTGAGATTAGGGACTGTTAACATCACTTTTGAGTTGAAATAGATGTGATTTTTAATATGCTAAACATGCCTTAATTTTTTTCCAAACTTTTTTTTCATTTGTGGCACCCTAAAAAAATTCAAATGGAGGTGCAGATCATTTGGAAATTCAACCTGTGGTCCTCAGGCCCCTGCCATAGATGTCTTAGACTGAAAACTGACTGAACAGAACTCAACTATAAATGTTGCATGTGCTCAGCACAGCATTTAACGAAGTGTGAGAGAGGGTGCTAAACTGTGGGCTTCTGTGGTAACAACACTTCTGGGTTTTGACCTGTAGGTCAGAGGCATTCACCTACTTTTGATTGATCAAAGGAATGCCTTTTCTGGGATCTGAAACTTTATTTTTATAGTCACCTTTTGCGGACCCCTTAGACAGTCTGTGCAGACCACAGGTTGAAAACGACTGCTATAAAACACTGGAAAACTGGAGTCTCAAGCTTTTGAGATATGGAACACTAAAATTGTGACTGGACTATCAGACCAGAAGTACTATTTGACATAGGTCTAGAGTTTAAAATAGCAGATTTCAGACCTCAGAACAATAACTTTTGATCCCTGTGCTACCATTATAATGGATGTTGGAACAAAACTGATGTTAAATATTAAATAACTTTACTCTTATTCAACTTAGGTATGTTCCTCCAGAACAAGCTAAGGTTGTGGCATCAGTCCATGCATCTATATCAGGGTCCTCTGCTAGTAGTACAAGCAGCACACCTGAGGTGAAACCGCTTAAATCTCTCTTGGGAGAATCTGCACCAGCACTGCACTTAAATAAAGGCACACCTAGCCAAGTGAGTGAGTAATGGCTAAGAGTTCAGTGATATGGGATTATGTTACAGTATTTAAAAGGAGAATGGGCATTTTGTGAATTGAACAAGATTTTACAAAATACTGAAAATTGTGGCATTAGTGGGTTACTGCTATTACAATAAAACTGTCCTTAATAGCTTTCATGCTCTGTTGCTTTTATGGAATGTGAATAGGGGACTGACAGTAAAATCTAGAAACTGAGTTCTGTGGTGGCTTGACTTTGAATGCTTCAGACTAAAAATGCTAGCCTCTGCCCTGTGTAATAATGATTAATAGACCGGCATTTTTGGGGCTATTTAATAAAACTAAGATGTTTTTGTTTTGTAATGACAGGTTTCAGAGTAACAGCCGTGTTAGTCTGTATCTGCAAAAAGAAGTACTCCTGTTCTTCTTTTTGTTTTGTAACAGGCTTTTGGCTAAACATCTTGTGTACCCACAACATACAGTAAAAGCTGTTTTATCCGGACCCAACCAGAAAGCTCTATAAACAGCATTTCTGATCTTCATTGAAATTTTGGTTTATAGTCCAGTTGACGCAGGACTGGCAAGGGGTTGGGGCGTGGGAGAGAGGGCTTGATCGTAGACCGCTTACCTCGGGTGGCTCCCTGCAAATGGTGACCTGTCCCGGCTGCTCCTAGGCAGAGATGCGGCAGGCAGCTTGGTGCACTGCCTCCGCCCACAGGTGTTGCCACCGCAGCTCCTGTTGGCACGGTTCCCAGCCAATGGAAGCTGCGGAGCCAGC